CTCTAGGTTGAAGGCCTGATGACAATTAAACAAATAAAAATAAAAGATATATTTTGTACACACAAGCACAGGTCCTCATATAGACACACATAATTATACATGTTAATAATAATAATAAAACTTTTTTGCTTTGTTTTTTGAGACAGAGTTTCTCTGTATAATTTTGGAGCCTGTCTTAGAACTTGCTTTGTAGACCTGTAGACCAGGCTGGCCTGGAACTCAAAGAGATCTGCCAGCCTCTACCTCCCTAGTGCTGCTATTAAAGGCGTGTTCCACCACAGCCTGGCATAATAAATCCTTTTTTTTTTAAAGATTTTTATTTGAGCCAGGTGGTGGTGGCAGTGGTGCACACCTTTAATCCCAGCATTCGGGAGGCAGAGACAGGTGGATTTTTGAGTTCAAGGCCAGCCTGGTTTACACAGTGAGTTCCAGGAGATAGCCAGAGCTGTTACACAGAGAAACCTTATCTTGAGGTGGAAAAACAACAAACAAACAAAAAAAACCCAAAGATTTTGTGTTTTTAGATCTATTGTTTAATGTGTATGGGTGTCTTGCCTGCATATACATCTATGTATCACATTCATGCAGTGCCTGTGGAGGCCAGAAGAGGGCGATAGATCTCTGGAACTAGAGTTACAAATGGTTATTAGCTTCCATGTAGGAGACAGGAACCAAACCTGGGTCCTCTACAGGAGCAGCAAGTGCCTTTAGCCACCGAGCTGTCTCTCAGTGAGTCATATGTGGTGGTGCACACCTTTAATCCCAGCACTCAGGAGGCAGAGGCAGGTGGATTTCTGTGAATAGGAGACCAGCCTGATCTACAGAGTGAGTTCCAGGACAGCCAGGGCTACACAGAGAAACCCTGTCTCAGAAAAAAAAAAAAAACAAAGGAGTCCAGAAGAGGGTGAGAGATCCCAGAACTGGAGTTACAGGTGGCAGCAAACTGCCTGGCATGGGAGCTAGGAGTGGAACCCTCTGGAGGGTGACCGTGCTCTTAAAAGCTGAGCCATCTTTTCCGCCCATACTGTTTTTTACATATTTCAGTTCATGCTGGCTGTGCAGTGCGTGTCTGTAACACCAGCAACATTGATGCCAATGTGGAAGTTTGCAAGGTTACAGAATAATGAGATCTTGCCTCAAACAAACAAAACCCAGAAAACAATTTCATAAAGGCAAACACACATTCCCTTTGGGATATATAATCTTAAAAATATTTTCACAACTAACCTTTTGAAAACTGCTTGCAGGGAAATGAAATAATTATAATTTCCAGAATTGGTAATTATATGAACAGAAAGGTGGAAACATGTAACCTACTTACCAAGTGTCTGCTAGCTATGCTGTAAATACATTTAAAAATCTTGTGTGTTGGAGCGGGGGCTGCTGCTTCCCCTCCGTCTCCCTCCCCCTCAGACAGGGTTTCATTCTATAGTCCAGGCTGGCCTCAAACTCATAGCTCCTCCTGCCTTAGCTTACTGAGTTCTGGGTTACATCTATGAGTACTTTGTCCAGCTTTTTGTGTGTAATTTTTTTTCTTCTTGTTTTTCCCAGATAGGGTTTCTCTGTGTAGCCCTTGCTAACCTGGAACTCACTTTGTAGACCAGGTTGACATCGAACTCAGAGATCCGCCTGCCTCTGCCTCCAAAGTGCTGGGATTAAAGGCATGTGCCACCACCACCTGACTGAAAATCTTTTTTTAAAAGTTTTTTTTTCCTTTGGCATAACTACTGTGTACATGCTTAACCCAAAACCAACAAACATGCAAATGATTATTTTAGACTGTTTTCATCTACATGGAAGATAGTGTGTTTACAGCTTCATCTATTAGCTGCATGGCAGTTTTAGGTTCATCCTCAGAGGCCCTGAGAGCTGACATGGGGATTACTTTTGTCTAACCAGAATCATGTGCATAAAGAGAGAAAAACCTATGTTAGGATGCTGGGTATTTTTCTTCCTTTAGGTAGCCAGGTTGGCCTTGAACTTGTGATGTAGCCAAGGATGGCCTTCTTGCTTCCATTCCCAAGTGCTGAGATTATAAGCGTATGCCATCACACCAGCTCTAATCTGGTATTTTTCAAATAAAAAATTGATCTCAGCATTAAAAAAAAAAGTCTACCCATGAGGGACAGTGGTGGTGAACACCTTTAATTCCAGCACTTGGGAGGTAATGTCAGTCAGATCTTTGAGTTCAAGGCCAGTCTGGTCTACAGATCGAGTTCCAGGAAATTAAGCAAGAAAACACTGTCTGGAAAAAGCAAAAAAACCCCAAAACAAACAAAAAAGTATATCCATATTTCATATGCATCCTTTACAAAAGAATCTCTTAAAAGATTCTTTATTTTTATTTTATGTGTATGGTATTTTGACTGCATGTATGTCCATGTGTGGTGTGCATAAAAGTGCAGTTGTGAGTTGCCTTGTAGGTGCTGGGGGCTGAAGCCAGGTCATCTGGAAGAGCAGCCACTGCTCGTAATCACTGAGCCATCTCTCCAGGCCCCTAACTGTTCTTTTCATGGTGGAAGACACATAATGTAAAATTTATCATTTCATCCAGTGTAAGTGGACCGAGCCGGACAGTATTTCCCATTATCCCCATGTGAAATTCTCTACTCATGAATAACTTCACATTCTCTCCCCTCACCAGCCTTTGGTAGCATCTGTTTTCCTTGTTTCTATCACTTTTTCTGTTCTGGGCCCTTTATACAAATAAAATGTCTGGGTATGTGGCACGCCCCCTGTAATCTTAACACTCAAGGGGTGGAAGGAGGAGAATCAAGAATTCAGAGTCGCTGGGCGGTGGTGGCATAGGCCTTTAATCCCAGCACTCGGGAGGCAGAGGCAGGTGGATCTCTATGAGTTCGAGGCCAGCCTGGTCTATACAGCAAGTTCCAGGACAGCCTCCAAAACAGTACAGAGAAACCCTGTCTCGAAAATACCAAAAAAAAAAAAAAATTCAGAGTCATCTTCTTTAACTACACAGTTCAAGGCCAGCCTGGGCTAGATGAGACACCCCCCCCCCACACACACACTTAAACACACACACATAAACACACACACACACAATTATATAATATTTGTCCCTTTGGGTCTAATTTATGTTACACAGCATATTTTCAATGTTGCAGCAAGTGTCAGAATTCCATTCCATTTGTTTGTTGTTTGTTTTGGCTGTCCTGGAACTCACTATGTAGACCAGACTGGCCTCAAATGTACAGATCTGCCTGCCTTTGCCTCCAGAGTGCTGGAATTAAAGGTGTGTACTGCTGTGTCCAGCTCACTTTCTTTTTAAGATCAAATCATAGATCATCATGTGGATATCTGACTATTTATCTGTGAACACTTAGATGAAGGATTCTTGAAGAGAGGGTAAAAAGCAGGAACCACAGAGCAGAAATTCTGAACTAGAAAAGGCATTTCCAAATCAGCTTCGATGCAGCTTGGATTGCTCAGGAGTCGTGGCTTCTGGCAGGTCTGGGCAGGCTGGGGGCCCAGAGAACCACCAGATAAGACCGGAGGGGACTGGTGAGAATTAGGACAAGTTGGGTCACAGCATTTTCCAGGTGCAATCTAGGTAAATGGCGGTCTGTGCCAGGTGTGGGACAAAGTGAGACGTTTCAACAGCAATGAAGTACCCATTCCGGGTGCAGAGATGATGGGCTATTGCAGGGCCTGAACTTAAAGAATGCACCCGTAGGAAAACGACTGTTGTACTTGAAGCAGTATTCAGCCAGCCTTCAGGACTCCACTTTCAATCTAGCTGACCCTAGCAGACAAAGCAACACTCAGTACTGGATGCCTTCCAGTTCAAACTCTTTGATCACTTCCCATAATTTAGAACCACCACCTCTCATCGGGGAATAAGTGTGGCCTCAAGGCCAATGCCCCGAGGGGCAGGTAATTCCAAGATAAACCTGGGCTGCCTCTGCAGTATGATGTTATTGGTCTCAACTATGACTTAAATCAAAACAAAAGAAGATTTGACAAAGCCTGGTGGTGGGGCATGCTTTCAATCCCAGCACTCAGGGAGGCAGAGGCAGGCGGATCTCTGTGAGTTCCAGGTCAGCCTGGTCTACAGCGTGAGTTCCAGGACACCCAAAACCGCACAGAGAAACCTGATTCGGAAAAAAAAAAAAAAGAAAAAGAAATTACAGAGAAATTCTAAGGCTGAATTTCGAAGTTTGCTATGGATTGCTTCATTTTTGCCTACCCATACATACTACACTACAAACTGACGTCTGCCAGTACCATTCCGAGTTGGGGAGGGGCATAAACAAAGCTCAAGATCCAAATGCTTTAGGTTTTGTACCCACGCCTCCAAGTCCTGACTTTCCAGCTGGTTCTTCACCTGCAAAGGTTAGGCTGCCTTACTTAAATCATTACCAGTTTCTGTGCAAAACATCCCAGCGGTCACTTCCTCATGTTGACCCTCTGTGCCTCAGTTTCCTCATCTAAGTAACAGTAGGGATGTTAGGAGCACTCAAGAAGTGAGTATACTGACAAACAGACTTAGCACAATGCCTGCTCTGCAGTGTGCCTGGGCTTCATCTGCGCCTCTAATCCACGTGTCCTCCCTTGACCGTCCGGAGCGTGGCGTCTTGGTTGAATACAACAGACTCCTCTGTCCCATCTCGGGACGAGGCCCCGACTGGCATGCGCTTCTGGGATGACGAGATGGCCTGGTAGATCCAAGCTTTTACCTGCCCTGGCTCCTCAAGTCATACTGAGATTGCTTTGGCTCAAGTAATCTCTGCGCCCCGCCCCCTCCCGTAGCTGCTGAGACCTGGGAGGGAGCCCCATACTAGAAGTTTTGAATCCAGACCTCACCCCACACCCCGAATGCATAGGATGTGACAGCCACCTGGGCACCCCGGGACCTAGGCGTGCCGGCGGATCCCGGCGCAGGGCGGAGCTGGTCCAGCCCGGAGCTCGCCCCGCCCCGTCCCGCCTAGCCGTAAACTGACCGAGTGGCAGCCAGCGGGAGAGAGGGGAGGAGAAAGCAGAGGAGAGTGGGGCCCGGCGGTGGAGGGGAAGCGAAGGGGTGCCGAGAGCGGGTGTGCGGGGACTCGGCGAAGGTGCGTCCCGAGCGGCGACAACTCAGGGCGTCCCAGCCTGCCAGAAAGAAGGATGGTGGCGGCGGGGCGCGGGCCAGCCCGGCCGCGGGCACCGTGAGCCGGAGTGCAGCGCCCGGCATGTGGCTGCGATCCCTGGCCTCGGCCCCGCTTCGTCCCCGCCGCGCGCCCTCGCCGAGCGGCGCGCACCATGCCGCGGGTGCCCGCGACCCTCTACGCCTGTCTGCTCGGGCTCTGCGCGCTCGTGCCGCGCCTCGCAGGTAAGCGGGGTCGCCCCCTGTGCGCTCGGGAACTTTGCTCGCCTGCGGCCGCTTGCAAAAAACTAAGGGTGCGGGACACCGTGGGGCGCACCCCGGTGGGACGGCGGGGTTCGAGCTCCGCATCTGCGTGCGCTGCCAGGTTTCCTCCGGGGCTGAGGAGGAGCCTTCCCTTCCTGTGTAAACAGCAGGCGTCTGGTGGCCGAGCCCGAGGGCGCTGGGGACTCGGGAGGCAAGGCCTCCCCGCCGGGTCCTGGGGCCCCAGCTCTGCGCTCGCCTGCACAAAGCGGCCCTTGTGGCCCGCGGGGAGTGATGTGGGGGCCAAAGTGCGGCTGCCCGGCCACTCGGGAGGTCTGTGGATAGTGCAACTTTCTCTACGCCTGATCTAAGTTGAAAGTTACTTCACTCGACAAGTCCGAAGTCATGGCCACACCTGGGACGCCGCCATCTGATCTTGTGCCTGTACCATGATTCACAAACAGTGGTCTGACGGCGGAGGGGCTGCTGGCACTGCCTTAACCGGACGTTCCCTTGTCCTGGAGGCGCTGAGGAGCCCCCAAATACCTGCGTTAAGTTTTCAGACTTGGGAGTGGCAGTTAAGAAGTCCCTAGAGGAAGGATGCTAGTCGGCGCTGGCTGCCAGGGACATGAGCTTGCCCTTCCTCCTCTAAACCAACCCACTCAAAAGCAGGAGTTTCCGAACTTTCTCCTTTCCGTCGGAAGTAACTGTGTATTGATTAAGGGTGCGCTCTGCACTTTTCAAGCCCGTGGTACTTGTTTTGTCTTTCTGAGCCCAGCCGTTGCCTGGATGCTAGAGAACTCCGTTCCCCTACCGCGTCTCATTTACATGAAGGAGGTTGAGGTTTCCATCTCAGAGTGGGGAGGGGGTAGAGGAAACAAAAACTTCGTTCAGGCCCCAGTCCAAACTTAATAGTGTAGCAAGACTGCTTTTATGGGAAAATAAGTAGATCAGTGAGTCGCACCCCTTCCCCCCATCTGGCAACCGGTGCCCATCTTTGGTGTTCGCGAGTCCCCAGGGAAACGCAAAGAGATGTAGCTAGAATCACCACCCTCTGGAATATATCTTTGTTAACTGACCTCACTTTAGGACAGTTTTAGTTTGAAACTTATTCACTTTTTATTGTTTGGAATTTTTTTTAGCTTTTTTTGTGAATAAACATACAGCAACCTTGATTAATTTCGTGAAATTCAAGTTTGGAAATAGCTTTAGTTTCCTTCCAGTTAGACATTATTTGATTCTAATGAAAACTCGAACATTTCCCATGGTGGCAAAGACTTTACTCTTTGTGAATTGCGTTTATCTTATCTTCTTTCCCTCCCCCAACTCTTCCCAAATTCACCCCTCCGCTTCCCTATGAGCCCAACTTTGTGTCCATTTAAAAAACACACAATGAGATTAGTTTGTGCTGCCTAAATATTTTTGGCCCTGTGGTCTTCAACTTGAGCCTGCTCTACTTACCTGGTCTATAATCATAGAGAAAGCTCCCTTCCTAGTAGTTAACTGTTAATAGTTCCGAGGCTAGGTTTTTGCTTTTTAAAATTTTCTTTTAATGTAACCCCACCTGGCCTGTAACTCTCTGTAGACCAGAATTTACAGAGATCATTTGCCTGCATCTCCCAAGTGTTGGGATTAAAGGAGTGCCCCACCCCCTCCCCTGGAGGTGCCCTTCATTTTTCATTTGCATGTAATTTCATCCCAGAGATGGGCCCTGGAGGGCCACGTGGCTTTTCCTCTTGCTTCAGGGTGGGAGTGGTGAGCCTGGAGGTGTTTGGTCATTGTACCTTATCCTGGAGCCTGGGTGGTTTAGTTCCAGTGCCTTCAGAGTTTTGTCCATTGCCCTGTGATCACAGGCTTGCCTTACACCATTTCATGCTGCCAGTCCCCAAAAGTCAGTTAAATGGTGGTAGAACACCAGCCTCCAGGGTGGGCCACCTCCTTAGAGTGCCCAGGCCAGGCGCTGTGCAAGGTCAGAAAGGAGTGGCTCATTTGGGTAATTTGACTTAACTTTCCAATATCGCTCACCCCCCCCACCCTTTATTGTCCTCTTCCCCACCCCCACCCCCCTTTCTCGAAAGGTGGCAGGGACTTTCTCCTGTTGGTTTCTCTCTTGCTAACAGGAACATAATTTGAAAGGAATCATGGTTATCTTGGGAAAGAAATGGTCAAGTGTGGCACCCGTCTGGGTGTTCCTAGACTACTGAGTGAATCCAGCAGGCAACAGGCCTTAAGTTTAAGGGGTTCACTGTAAATAACCCTTTACTATGCTACTCCCCCCCCCCCCTCCCCAGGGGCCAAGAGTCTCCAGGCTGGAACCTGACACACAAGGTCTCACAAAACCAGGGAGGGGTAGCACTGGAGAGGCCTCCCATGCCCACTTCCGCCCCAAGGCAGAGAGGGGAGTTTGGTTGCTCCTGCAGCATGACTGGAGTCATGTTTGCCACCGTAGCTTATTATTTTATAAGCAGTCAAATATTCTTTTAGTTGATGCCCGGCAAATTAGAATGCTCCGAATACCAAGAGCCCTTTGTTGCATTTAGAGAATGCAAGTTGGCAGTCCCGGTCCTCCTCACCCTGACCCTGGCCCACTGTGGCTGTGGGCAGAGGCTGGGAGGGGGGTGGGGCTGCTGGAATTTGGCTGGGTTGGCAGCTCCCTTTAGGTAACCAGGCCCAGTACACTGAAATGCGAAGGGTTTCCTCGGTTCATAGACGACTATTTACCCTCTGGGATTTACATTTTAACTTCATCATCCTCAGTCAGGGGGGGCTTTTCATAAAGGGGACTGAGGCAGAAGAGGGCAGGGTCTAATTAGCTCTAATTAGTATTCCTCCCCTGCTTGTTCTCCATGCTTATTTAGCTACTGAGACAACAAAGAATTAAAATATCTAAGTAGTTTGGCAAATCGCCCTTTGTGCCTGCCTGCCCCAGTAACAGCTTTTTTTCTCCTCCAGCCTGGTCATGGAAATATTCTGAGAAGTTTTAACAAGATCATCAGTGTGGGTAATTACACACAACCCTTAAATGACAGAGTGGCTTTTAGAGGCTGTGTGTGCTGCAGGGGCTGGGGGACTCTTCACAGGTGTTTTCAGTTGGCTGTGCGAGAGCTTTGCAAACCTAAGGGGGCTTGTTTTCCATTTCTCCAGTGGGAGAAATTGGTTGGCTTTAAAGCAGTAGCTCTTAACCTATGTTGCCACCCCTGCCGTGGAAGGACCCTTTCACGGAGGTCCACCTAAGACCGTCGGAAAACACTGATCTATAACAGTAGCCCAAATTATAGTTGTGAGGTAGCAACGAAAGTAATTGTGTGGTTGGGGGTCGCCACAACATGAGGAACTGTATTAAAGGGTCGAGGCATCAGGAAGGTTGAGAACCGCCGCTTCAAAGGGTGATCGGCACCCTTTTATTGGTGAGGATTCTTTTTGCTTTGATTGGTCCGCAGGGTGAAGAGTCTGCTTCAGGGCTGACTCACCCAAGCCAGCGCTGCAGCGTGGGGCCTGCCTCACTGGATCCCTTCGGCAGCCTTGCCACAGTTGTTCAGATGTTTTCCCTGTCTCTGGCAAAGCCAGAACCTACTTCCGCACCCAACCAAGCCCTTTAGTTACTGGCATCCCTCACTCAGAGTAATCCTGTTGAAACTCCCCAGTCTGCTTAGAACCTTTCAGGCTTCTGATTCTGCCGGAAGCCCCAAGGCTTCCTGCCTTCTCTCACCACCATCTCCTCACAGGCTTCACACTGCCTCCTGCCTGGACTGTCTCCCAGGGAGCTGTTGTCTGGCTGCTTCCGTCACCCCCACAGGCCTCCTCATGGTGTCTCCTGCTCAGCCCATGGTCCCCGGCCACTCATCCAAAGCTGCCGCCTCATTCCTCTTCTTTCTGACTTCGTTCTGTCCTTGATTTCCCTCTTTGGCACTTTACCCCATCCACTGTCCTGACCTGCCCCTCCCCCTCCAGGCCTCACTTTGAAGTCAGTCAGGGTCTGTATGGGCAGCTGCTGTTAGGAGGAAGCATCCTGGGAAAGGAGACCGCATTGCAAGGTGTCAAGATTCAGCAAGCTGCCGGGCGTTGGTGGCGCACGCCTTTAATCCCAGCACTCGGGAGGCAGAGGCAGGCGGATCTCTGTGAGTTCGAGGCCAGCCTGGTCTACAAGAGCTAGTTCCAGGACAGCCTCCAAAGCCACAGAGAAACCCTGTCTCGAAAAACCAAAACCAAAACCAAAACCAAAAAACAAAAAACAAACAAACAAAAAAAAAAAGATTCAGCAAGCTGGAATCCATGGTAATGGCCGGTTTGCCTTGACCTCTGAACTGTGTATGGTGGGGAGGTTAGGTGATTTGCTTAGTGTCATCATGACCTTCCTTTCCCATGGCTTTAAACCCTTAGAAAAGTCTAGAAGTTTTAAACCTTCACACTCAGCTTCCCTGTTATCAGTATCTTACATTAATTAGTTTTGTGTATTTGTCACAGTGGGTGAACCATATTGACACTCTGATTAGCCAAGCTCGGCACTGCTCAGACAGCCTGAGTTTTAACCCTGTTCTGTTCTGGGATCCTGTTGGGGTGCCATGTTACTGTCACCGCCGTCTTGGGCACCTCTTGGCTGTGATGGTTCAGTCTGTCCTTGCTTTAGTTGGCTTTGACAGTTTAGAGTTCTGTTCAGTTATTTTTACAGACATTGCCCCTGTTCATAGAGACTGATGCTCTTTTCTTTTGAGTAGGTGGAGTCTTATGTTTGGGGAGGAAGATTCTAAGAGTAACTGGTTGCCTCCTTTGTTTCTTTCTCTTTTTGAGACAAGGACTCATTCATCCCAGGCTGGCCTCAAGCTCTCAGGTCCTTGAACTCATCCTTCTGCCTCCTGGGTGCTGAGGTAAATACTCCACTTTTGCAGTGCTGGACAGTAAACCAGCTTTAAACCGGAATGTAGCACTGTTCCAACCAGCTACACTCCCAGCCTTTGATTGCCGTAGTGGAGCTGGCTCCAGGGTTA